GGCGCGAGGGGTAGAGGAGCACGTGGGCGAAGGTGGGGGAAAGAGCAGAGCCGCCGGGTGCTCCGGGTCCCGCGAAAGGCAGAGAGGGCGCGGGAGACCCGGGAGAAGCCGGCAGGGATCAGGCCAGGGCTGGATCCTGAGGCCGACGGGGAAGGGTCACACCGCTCCATTTTCCCGACTCAGCAAGCCAGGTCATGGACCCGTGCTCGGCGCTGAGCAACAGGCCCTCGGAGCCGAGACGCTCGGCGCCCTCCACGCGGGCCGCTGTCCCGGCTCTGCCCCGGGGTCCTTGCGCAGTGCGGGGAGCGCACGCACGTCCTGCCTCCGGAGGTCGGCGGCGCCTTGTTGTCACCTGTAGCCTGGAAGACTCTCTCCCGCGCTTCCTCTTACCCAGGGTCTTAGCTCCAGACCGGATCGGGGGTTTCTCGTCCCTTCTGTCCGCATCACCCTATACCTGAGGGCGGCGCACCTCACCTCAGAGCCAGCTACCCGACCAGGGACACCCGCATCCGTGCTCCCCAACCTGTTCACTCCGATCCTCCACCCTCCGATTCATCTGCACGCTGGGGCGAGGGGGGAGGGGTGGTGAGAAAGGGGAGGCGCCTAGAGTCTTTCCGACAGGGAGAGGGAGCGGATGGGAAAGGTAGGACTAAGGCACCAAAGCCCCTGGGACTTGGGATCCAGTGGGCTGGAACCCAGCCCCTGCCCTGACTTCTAGTCTTCAATATCTTCATCTGTAAAATGGGAACAACGGTGCCCCCTCCTTAACACCGCCAAAGGGCTGTTGCACAATTTGGGTGAGAGAACTGTGAGATGAGATCTATAAAGTTGGTTTCCAATCGCCCCTCAGTCCTCTCCCAACTTCGTTCCACGGTGAATTTGGGGGTCGAGGTTGACTTCAGTAGCATTGATCCTTCCGGGCGGTCTTGCTAGCTCAATGGAGGTGGGTGATTCTGAGGGCAGAACTGACGAGGGAGAATGGGCTATTAGTTTTGGGGTTTCTTTGGGGGCTTTTTTGTCATTTCCCTCTTGGCTTTCCCAGCGCAGCACCCCTCCTCCCAAGCACCTGGGCATTCCTTCCAGATTCTGCCCAGGCTGAGCCTCTGCTGACAGGTTGGGGCCCCTCCATTCTCCGCGCCTCGCACTCCAACAACTTGAGTATTGACAGACTAGAGAAACTGCAAAGGGACGATGTCATTCGACTTTCCCCCGTTCCTCCGAATCTTGCAGCAGACACACCCTTAGAGGTCACAGTATCTTCTAGAAACCTTCATTTTAGGAATGAGAATCTGAGGCCGAAAGCAGCCAACCCAAGACGGCGGCTCAGTCTCTGATGCCTGGACCTGCTCTTCTGCGCCCAGGACCTTGAACAAATGTCCACACGTCTCCCGAGAGTCAGTTTCCCAGTCCGCAAAATGGGACTAAATAAAGTATGCAAATGACCCTCCTAGGGCCAGTGAGAGATTAAAAGAGATGAAGTCTGTCAAGACCCACTAAAAGTCTGGCACAGCTTAACTCCCTTTAAGGTGGCTTTTAGATGGAAGTCACTACCCTTGTCATTCTAAAAGCTCCCATATTCTGGCAGTCCAGATTACAGACCTCATGATTTACTGTGAACATGGAATATTACATGTGTTTTACCAGTCACGTTTCACATCAGTCCATGTGCACGTCTGCAGGCCTGTGCATTCAGAAGTATTTACCAAGCACCCTCCACGTGTCAGGCCCTGTGCTCAGCGCTGGGTCCCAGACGGGGATGACCCTGGACCTCTCTGGGAGCTGAGTCTTACAAGGAAGACAGATACTGTTTGTTTGCAGAGCTCTCCCGAGGGGTCTTATTGCTCTCCTTTGGGCGCCAAACACTGCCATTCCGCATCCCTTCTGGTTTCCGGACCTGAAGCGATTGCTGAAATGCTCCTTCCTTTCCCTTTCCCTTTCCCTTTCCTTTCCTTTCCTTTCCTTTCCTTTCCTTTCCTTTCCTTTCCTTTCCTTTCCTTTCCTTTCCAGTGCCCTCAGCCTCGCCTCCTACCGTCAGCCCTGGCTCGCCCTGAGCAAGGACGCTGCTCTCCTTGGCAGTGTGGCCGAGCCGCTGCCTGAATGTGTGCAGGAACTTGGGGAAGGGCAAGGCGAGAACGCAGAAGAATGGCCCGGGAGGAACCCGGGAAGCAGTGGGAGGTCTGAGCCCTCGGAGCCCCGCTCGAGCCCGCCCCGGCCGATTTGGCACAAGCTCCACCCGGGCCGCCAGGAGACTGAGCAAAGGCCGGCCCCGACGCGCACCCGGCCTTTTGTGGGAGGGAAACACAAAGGAGAGGGAAAAACACGTCTTCCGTTTTGACGGAGGAGGCCGACAGTTTCTGGACGCATGGGCCAGCCAGGAACTCGCGGAGCCGGGCCATTTAGCCTTGGCAAGTGAGCACTCAGTTTCGCGGGCAGGGGCTGCGGCGTTGTCCGGGACCCACCCAGGACCTGCAGACCAGGCGCGGGGCTCAAGACCAGAGCAAATGCCAGGACGCCTCCAGGACGCACGAGGACATGCGCCAACGGCCCGGCTCTTGTTTTCGATGATTCCTGGAGGGGGTAGGAGGACTCAGAGACCCAGAGAGATGAGTCCAGCCACTGATTTGCCCTGGGCTCAAAGAGCCCAGGGGAGACACAGACTGCCCCTACCTCGCGAGCAAGTTTCTGGCAACCATAGAATGCTGGGGGGTGCTGCCGGCAGAAGGGGTCTACGGCCTAGAGCTGCCAGCAGGGCGTGGGGAGTGAAGACCGCGAGGTGCCGCTGCACAGCCCAGAACAGCCGCCCCTGCCCTTGGGCAGTGGCACAGGGCTAGGGCCTGCAGCGTCCGTATGGGCTTTCACGCGGGAACCCGGCGAGTAAGCCAGCTCTCCTGCCTCTGGCCTCTGCCCTCCTGGGCTCTAAATATGCATGGTGCCAGAACGGGCCCCTCAACCTTCGCCCGGGCTTCCAACTCCAGCCACTGGAGAAAGCGCGTGAAGAACCCCAGACCGCGCACTCTCGCGGACCGCAGGACGCAGGACAGTTGCCAGTGGCAAGCAACAAAAGAAGGTGCCACCCTCTGGACTAACCTCAGCGTCTGCAGCCCAGGAGCGTGCACGGTGCGCCTGCCGGTGTTTATTAGCTACACAGGCGTGCGCACAAGTCCACGCCTCAGCTGGTGGCCCACAGCTCACATTGCCGCAAATGTCCTCACTGTCTGTGGTCGGAGAGGCTCAAAGGAACCAGCCTCTAATACTCGAGCTCTTCTTGCTCCCCACCCCTGGCTCCCTGAGTTCGACCATGTGACAGATTCTCCTAATTCAGCGGTTATGGGTCATCCTCCATAACCGTTGCTCGACATATCTCCACGCTTCAGTTCTTCATGTTTTAAGTACATATTTAACGGATGGCTGCAGAGCCAACTGGGAAACACGCGGGTTGAAAAATAATGCTCCAGAAAGCACGAGATGGGGGCGAAGGCAATAGCCGGCTAGGTTTTCTATCCTCGTTTTACCCAGACACCGGGAGCAATACCGTGGGCTTATTTTTGTATTTGTTTTATTTTGTGCTTTCCCAATTTGAAGGCGAATTACTCTGTTTTTAAAGCCATACATGCAGAGTAAAAGTTCCCCAACAACCACTAAACAGAGGAGGGAGGGCTGGGGTGTGTTTGTGTATGTGCTTGTGCAGATAAAGGGCTAGGGTCCGGGATCTGCAGAACCAGACTTCTGTACCGGAAAGGCATGGATGTAAGGAATCCAGCTCAGGGAACAAGTTAGAGATGCAGGGCTGCCACTACTGTAAGGAATGCAGGCATCTGAACTGTAAAGGGTTAGCAATTTTTTTCTGTAGGCTTGCTGCAGACACAGTCTCTTGATTTTCCCATCCGTAAAATGGGTGGATGCGTCGTATCACTAAACTACCTCAGTTAGCCGCTTCTCTAAAACCAGGTTTAATCCCTGAAGGGCAGGAGTTTCTGGGTGTAGCGACCAAGCTGTGATTGCTACAATGTGTCTGAACACGGCCTTGAGTAGCTGGATCTCACTGCCTGGCCCAAGGCCTGGAGAAGTCTTTGCACAGGACTTAGACTTTCTTTCCCCCCAGACAAACTAGAGTTTCCCTCCTACTCGGTGGCGTGGTGATGACCACAAGAATGATGCTGAAAATACCGTCATCGGTTCCAGAGCTAATAAATGGGGGGGGGGGGCTCTTAACTTTGGGCTCTAGACTCTGCCCTCTGTTAGTGTGGTTACTGTGGGGAAATATCTCGTCCCTGTGTCTACACCATTCTTGACTTTATGAAGAGTTGTGATTTCTTTCAAAACAGCGTTCAGGAGTAGGTCCCCTACTTCCTTCCCCGCCCTCTGCCTCGCAAGGCCCTGCTCCCAGCTGGGGGCGCTACCAGCCGCCCGCCGAGGAGCCGCTACGGCCAGCTCCCGGAGGCGCGCTTAGCTTGAGATAAAGTAGGGGCTTTGTGCTTGGTTCTCGTTTACATTTGGGGTTCAAAATGCCCACGTGTTGATGAAACCCTTGAGACAGGGACAGGCCGCGAGAACCCCAGAGTGAGATGAAAAGCAAAAGAGGAGCCTCCAGTCCCAGCTCCGGAATCGCCAGGGTTCTTCGTGCGCATCCCCAAAAGATCCGATCGCGTTGGGTATCAGGTTAGTTCATGGGCAGAACCCCCCAGCCCACCCCATCCCCCAGCCTGACTCTGTGGTCACCGTATTTTCATAGAAACTTGACAACGCTCCCTCTCTCTCTCCCTCTATCTTAACTGCATTCTATTCGGCCCTCGGTACTTCCCCGGCAAGCCCGCCCTTCTCCTCCCCCTCGCCTCTCACACCCCCTCCGCGGGTTCCTCCTCCCGTCCCTCCCCAAGAATCTCCCGGCCGCCGACGCCCATTGGCTGTGCGCGGGGAGGAGGCGTGTGCGGGCCCGGCGAGTTTCATTGAGCGGAATTAGCCTGGATGACATCAGCTTCCCAGCCCCCCGGGCTGGCCCAGCTCATTGGCGCGGCGGCCCCTCCAGGACCCGCACATTGTTCCCCGCCCCCCGCCTCGGCCACCGCCGCCGCGGTCGCCGCCGCCACCGGGCTATAAAAACCGGCCGAGCCCCGAAAGGTGCGGATGCTTATTATAGACCAGCGCGACCTCAGCGCCCGGAGCCCGGTTCTCCGCTGCGGCTTTTGGGAGCGAGCTCCTCTCCTTGCATCCACAGTAAGTGTCCCCGCCCCCCAGCAGCCCCAGTCTATATCCCGGGGACAGACGCCCCTCAACTCGCCTGCGACCCAGGAAGCTCCGTGGGAGAGGGCCCCGATCCCGCCCCTGCCCGCCAGTTCTGCCGGGTGCCGTCGCTGCTGACTCTCCCCACACTCATCGCAGCATCCCCTTCGCCCAAATGCGAGAAGTCGGGGCGACCACAGTTCCTTCTGGCCAAGTCCCGGTCCGCTGGCAAGCTCCCCGCGGCCCCCCGGACGCAGCGCATGTTATCTAGGCTCACCGGCGCTGGGTGCCTGTGTGTGTTTGTTGCGCGGTGCCGGTGGAGATAAGGTCGAGGCGTTGGACAAACCAAATAAAGACTTCTCTCTTTAGAGCTCCACCATCCCAAAGAAAAAAATCCTCCCTTAACCATTCCAGCCCTGGGGATTGAGCCTCCCCGTTCCTAATTGAAGGCATAAAGCCTCCTCAATGCCGCCCTCACTGAGGGCCATCCAATGCTCCCTGGAATAAAACAACCTGTGGATGAGAGCGGAAGAAGTGGTGGGAGCGCGAGAGAGGGACTACTTGGCGCGCACCTGCGTGCCGCGGGAAGGAAGGCCAGACACAGCGAGGTGGACACGGAGCGACCGGCCACCCGCGCCTGGAGCGCGCGCTGCGGTGCAGGCGGGAGCAGCTTCTCGCTCTCTTTCTCTGAGTGCCTCACGCTCGATCTCTCCCTCTCTCCCTCTCTCTCTCTCTCTCTCTCTCTCTCCTGTTTCTTCTCTTCGCAGGAGGCGTGCGTAAAGCTCCGAGGGCCCAGGGAGAGAGGGAGGACTCTGCGAAAGCTGCGACTATCCCTCGGGGCCATGGACTCGGACGCCAGCCTGGTGTCCAGTCGTCCGTCGTCGCCAGAGCCCGATGACCTTTTTCTGCCCGCCCGGAGCAAAGGCAGCGGCGGCAGCGGCTTCACGGGAGGCACAGTGTCCTCGTCCACGCCGAGCGACTGCCCGCCAGAGCTGAGCGCAGAGCTGCGCGGCGCCATGGGCGCGGCGGGCGCGCACCCCGGGGACAAGCTGGGCGGCGGCGGCGGCTTCAAGTCATCCTCGTCCAGCACGTCGTCGTCCACTTCGTCGGCGGCCGCCTCGTCCACCAAGAAGGACAAGAAGCAGATGACAGAGCCCGAGCTGCAGCAGCTACGCCTCAAGATCAACAGCCGCGAGCGCAAGCGCATGCACGACCTCAACATCGCCATGGACGGGCTGCGCGAGGTCATGCCGTACGCGCACGGCCCGTCGGTGCGCAAGCTCTCCAAGATCGCCACGCTGCTGCTGGCGCGCAACTACATCCTCATGCTCACCAACTCGCTGGAGGAGATGAAGCGCCTGGTGAGCGAGATCTACGGCGGCCACCACGCGGGCTTCCACCCGTCAGCCTGCGGCGGCCTGGCGCACTCGGCGCCCCTGCCCGCCGCCACG